AGCCGGCAAACCTTCGCATAGAAAACGGGAATATCCACCTATCCTCTCATATTTAGCATTATTTCTTGTGTTTTAAACAAAAATATCAACCTCCTGCTTGTGGGAATTGTCATTCTCAAAATAAACGATCAAGTGAGGTGATAATGGTGGGAGATAATGAGTGGAAAGAGCCGCCCCGGGCTTCTTAACATGCTCATTTCATTCACCTTCTTCAACACATAAAATAAATAATATAATATAAATATCTTCATTATAGACTATCTTATAGACTTTATGTCAATATACTTAAGACTTCTAAGTATAGACCAGAAGGTCTTTACTCTCATATATAAGAATATCCAGGTCAGGAGAGAGACATACACTTGGTGATGTACTTTCAGGCAAGACTCCATTAAAATACAACAAGAAGACTCAATCAATGTTATAGGTTCTTGTAATATTATTACAGTGTTATTCTCCATTGTCACAAGAGTTTTAAGGAGGTGAGGGAGAGCCAACATGGCAGACACAGGCAGACAAGCAACCGTGTGAACACAAGCGGAGGTTCACCTACACCAATATGTGAACCTTCCCTCAAAAAAAAAAACTCATAGATTTTTTCCCTTTTGCCTCTATATTTCCGTGAGGTTTTGGGGTGTGAGGTTGGTGGGGGGGAAAATGGTGGGGGTTAGAAGGTGAGGTTTCAACATGGCGGTGAGGGTGGGAGGGGAGAGTGGGGGGAGACTAAGAGAGAGAAGAGGGACACACTACAATCCCCCACCAGCGGCCTCTATAACCAGGTGGTCTATATAGCCAGTGGGCGCTTGGCGGCGGGTGCGGCCTCCCCCCCTGACCCTACCCATCCTCAGATCTCCCTCCCCTCTCTCTCTCTTCTCTCCTCTCCCCTCTTCTCTCTCTCTCTCTCATTTTGCTCTATAACTTGCTCTCTCCTCACTTCCCTATAACCTGCTCTCTCTCACTTGCCTATCACTTGCTCTCTCTTACTTGCCTATAACTTCCTCTTTCACTTGCCTATAACCTGCTCTCTTACTTCCCTATAACTTGCTCTCTCTCACTTCCCTATAATTTGCTTTCTCTCACTTGTCTATAGCTTTTCTCTCTCTCTTTTCACTTGTCTATAACTTGCTCTCTCTCACTTGCCTATAACTTGCTCTCTCTCACTTGTCTATAGCTTGCTCTCTCTCTCTCTCTCTCTCACTTCTCTATAACTTTGTCACTTGCCATAACTTGCCCCTCCCCTCTCTCTCTCTCTCTCTTCTCTCTCTCTCTTCTCTCTCTCTCCACTTGTCTATAACTTGCTGTCTCTCACTTGTCTATAACTTGCTCTCTCTCACTTGCCTATAACTTGCTCTCTCTCACTTGTCTATAGCTTGCTCTCTCTCTCTCTCTCTCTCTCTCTCTCTCTCTCACATCTTTAATACACAACACCTCTCCCCCCAGCACAAACTCCCCCTCAGTGTCATAGTTCCAGGATTTCCACAGAGGAAGAAGAGGGGAGGGGGGATAGGGGGATGGAAGAGGGGGATGGGAGAAGGGGGAGGGGAGGGGAGAGGGGGAGGGGAGGGGGTAATTTTTGTATTTAATTATTATATATGCAATACCGTATCCCATTTTCATAAGGACGACCAGAGTACATGACCTCCACGCTCTTGATTATGTCACGACCTCCACGCTCTTGATTCTCACTGTTACGCCCTCCACGCTCTTGATTCTCATTGTTACGACCTCCACGCTCTTGATTCTCACTGTTACGACCTCCATGCTCTTGATTCTCACTGTCACGACCTCCACCCTCTTGATTCTCACTGTTACGACCTCCACGCTCTTGATTCTCACTGTTACGACCTCCACGCTCTTGATTCCCACTGTCACGACCTCCATGCTCTTGATTCTCACTGTCACGACCTCCACGCTCTTGATTCTCACTGTTACTACCTCTACGCTCTTGATTCTCACTGTCACTACCTCTACGCTCTTGATTCTCACTGTCACGACCTCCATGCTCTTGATTCTCACTGTCACGACCTCCACGCTCTTGATTCTCACTGTTACTACCTCTACGCTCTTGATTCTCACTGTCACGACCTCCATGCTCTAGATTCTCACTGTCACGACATTCACGCTCTTAATTCTCACTGTCACGACCACTACGCTCTTGATTCTCACTGTCACGACCACTACACTTGATTCTCACTCTGTCACGACCACTACTCTTGATTCTCACTGTCACGACCACTACACTCTTGATTCTCACTGTCACGACTACTACACTCTTGATTCTCACTGTGTCACGACCACTACACTCTTGATTCTCACTGTGTCACGACCACTACACTCTTGATTCTCACTCTGTCACGACCACTACACTCTTGATTCTCACTCTGTCACGACCACTACGCTCTTGATTCTCACTGTCACGACCACTACGCATTTGATTCTCACTCTGTCACGACCACTACGCTCTTGATTCTCACTGTGCCACGACCACTACACTCTTGATTCTCACTCTGTCACGACCACTACACTCTTAATTCTCACTGTGCCACGACCACTACACTCTTGATTCTCACTGTGTCACGACCACTACACTCTTGATTCTCACTGTGTCACGACCACTACGCTCTTGATTCTCACTGTGTCACGACCACTACGCTTTTTTGATTCTCACTGTGTCACGACCACTACGCTCTTGATTCTCACTGTGCCACGACCACTACACTCTTGATTCTCACTGTCACGACCACTACGCTCTTGATTCTCAATGGGTCACGACCACTACACTCTTGATTCTCACTGTCACGACCACTACACTCTTGATTCTCACTGTCACGACCACTACGCTCTTGATTCTCAATGGGTCACGACCACTACACTCTTGATTCTCACTGTCACGACCACTACACTCTTGATTCTCACTCTGTCACGACCACTACGCTCTTGATTCTTACTGTCACGACCACTACGCATTTGATTCTCACTCTGTCACGACCACTACGCTCTTGATTCTCACTGTGCCACGACCACTACACTCTTGATTCTCACTCTGTCACGACCACTACACTCTTAATTCTCACTGTGCCACGACCACTACACTCTTGATTCTCACTGTGTCACGACCACTACACTCTTGATTCTCACTGTGTCACGACCACTACACTCTTGATTCTCACTGTGTCACGACCACTACGCTCTTGATTCTCACTGTGTCACGACCACTACGCTCTTGATTCTCACTGTGCCACGACTACACTCTTGATTCTCACTGTCACGACCACTACGCTCTTGATTCTCAATGGGTCACGACCACTACACTCTTGATTCTCACTGTCACGACCACTACACTCTTGATTCTCACTGTCACGACCACTACACTCTTGATTCTCACTCTGTCACGACCACTACACTCTTGATTCTCACTGTCACGACCACTACGCTCTTGATTCTCAATGGGTCACGACCACTACACTCTTGATTCTCACTGTCACGACCACTACGCTCTTGATTCTCAATGGGTCACGACCACTACACTCTTGATTCTCACTGTGTCACGACCACTACGCTCTTGATTCTCAGTGTCACGACCACTACACTCTTGATTCTCACTCTGTCACGACAACAACACTCTTGATTCTCAGTGTCACGACCACTACACTCTTGATTCTCACTCTGTCACGACCACTACACTCTTGATTCTCACTGTGTTACGACCACTACGCTCTTGATTCTCACTGTCACGACCACTACACTCTTGATTCTCACTGTGTAACGACAACTACGCTCTTGATTCTCACTGTGTCACGACCACTACGCTCTTGATTCTCACTGTGTCACGACCACTACACTCTTGATTCTCACTGTGTCACGACCACTACGCTCTTGATTCTCACTGTCACGACCACTACACTCTTGATTCTCGCTGTGTCACGACCTCTACACTCTTGATTCTCACTGTGTCACGACAACTACGCTCTTGATTCTCACTGTGTTACGACCACTACACTCTTGATTCTCACTGTGTCACGACCACTACTCTCTTGATTCTCACTGTGTCACGACTACTACGCTCTTGATTCTCTGTGTAACGACCACTACGCTCTTGATTCTCACTGTCACGACTACTACGCTCTTGATTCTCACTGTGTCACGACCACTACGCTCTTGATTCTCACTCTGTCACGACTACTACGCTCTTGATTCTCACTGTGTCACGACCACTACGCTCTTGATTCTCACTGTCATGACCACTACACTCTTGATTCTCACTGTGTCACGACCACTACGCTCTTGATTCTCACTGTGTCACGACCACTACGCTCTTGATTCTCATGTCATCAGACCACTACGCTCTTGATTCTCACTGTTACGACCACTATGCTCTTGATTCTCACTGTGTCACGACCACTACGCTCTTGATTCTCACTGTGTAACGACCACTACGCTCTTGATTCTCACTGTCACGACTACTGCGCTCTTGATTCTCACTGTGTCACGACCACTACGCTCTTGATTCTCTGTCACGACTACTACGCTCTTGATTCTCACTGTGTCACGACCACTACGCTCTTGATTCTCACTGTCACGACCACTACGCTCTTGATTCTCACTGTGTCACGACCACTACGCTCTTGATTCTCACTGTCACGACCACTACGCTCTTGATTCTCACTGTCACGACCACTACGCTCTTGATTCTCACTGTGTAACGACCACTACGCTCTTGATTCTCACTCTCACGACGACTACGCTCTTGATTCTCACTGTCACGACCACTACGCTCTTGATTCTCACTGTCACGACCACTACGCTCTTGATTCCACTGCCCACGCCCACTCGCTCTTGATTCTCACTGTCACGATCACTACACTCTTGATTCTCATTGTCACGACCACTACGCTCTTGATTCTCACTCTGGCACGACCACTACGCTCTTGATTCTCACTGTCACGACCACTACGCTCTTGATTCTCACTGTGTCACGACCACCACGCCTTGATTCTCAT